TTGTGAAGAAAGAAGGAATAAAGAACCTGGGGAAAAAGGACCTAACAATTTGGTGCACTGGCCGGAGTTGTTTATTCTTGATATAATTAGTATATGTTAACACGACAAGGTGCAAGACGACTTATTGAAACTGAATTCCATCGATTAGCCAATATTGATATTAATTTTCCTGATCATACACCAATAAATCCAATAGTTTCTAATCCAACAACATTAATAATGGCAGAGAAAACCGTCGCCACACTTTTAAGTAAAGCTTTGGAACAGACACCAAAATTTTCTGGTAAACCCGATCAAGATGCTGATGAATGGATGAAGAATTTGACTGATACATTTCGTATGGCTGATATGACAGAAGCACAAGGATTAAAAATAATATCTACATTTTTGGAAGGACATCCTAAGCAATGGTTTACTGACAATAGTGCAATATTCGAATCCTGGAGTGTATTTAAAGCTCAATTTATTCATACGTATTCATCACCCTCATCGAAACAATTAGCGTCTAACCGCTTAAGAACTCGCCAACAACGACATGATGAAGCTGTTATCGAATATTATACCGATGTTATGAAATTATGCAAATTAGTTGATCCAACCATGACTGATGCATCCAAAATTGATCACTTATCTCACGGACTCAAACCGTCCCTAATGAAAGAAGTCTTCCGTAGAGCTCCATCCACGCCAGCAGAATTTTTAGAACAAGCACGACAAGAAGAAAATTTAGATTGTTTAGTTAATACGTCTTTTCAGCACACCAATGATAGTGATACACAAGCAACAAACTATTCCAACACCTCATTATATAGATCCCCACAAAAATTTGAAACTCCGCACTACCAAAATTCATCACATATGCATTCTAAAGGTTATTCGGCAAACGTATACTCACCTCGAACAACATACAATCGATTTCATGATCCATCATCGTCACGTTATCCATCTCAAACGCAACAATCTTCGTTTAATGCATTACACTATCAACCACGCCCTTTACGATGTTACCTATGTCAGAAATTGGGACATATTGCTCGTGATTGTAGATCTGCAAAAAACTATTAAGGGAGTCAAATGATGGTAGTGACTCCCATCCATCGCGACCATCACTATTTTCTCCATCAATAAATAGAACTTATTCTGTACAACAACCGCATACCTATCGTCGCTTCGTTCCGTTTTTTCGCTATCGTACTAATCGCAACATAATAAACTACCCGACTTCTTCGATACCCCCTCGCAAATATATCACAATGAACAAACCTCGACAACCGCTCGTTAAATCCATCGCACAACATAATGCCCTTAATCAAAATGTTAAAAAATCCAACCCGTCATTAATTTTTATCAACACTCACATCAATGGATCACGTTTACGTGCTATGATCGATACCGGTGCTACTCATTCATTTATCACTCAAGGTGCCATTAGCACATTATATCATTCAGCCATACCCCCATGTGATAGTATAGCTCAATTAGGTGATGGTCAAACCACGCTTAAAATAGTAGGTGAAGTTCAACTATTCTTGCAATTTAATAAAATTTTTACGCCTTTAAATGTTCTCGTTGTCAAAACAATGAATACAGATTTTATACTTGGCAGTGATTGGTGTACAAAAAATGCAGCAAGAATCGATTATGAAAACAATCAAGTGTCTATACGTTCTTCATGTGGTCGTGTCTTCATTCCATATCACAAAAGCATTGATTGCTTAACTTTAGATGTCAAATCAATTAATGTTATTCATATACCTCCACGTGAATCATACACTGTTCAAGCCAAAGTCGAATTATCATCAGCTGATACCGTCTACTTCTCGCCTGTCGATCCTATACAATTCGAAAAATCTATTGTCATGTCACCTTCGTTGTTACACATAAATAATTATACCACATATTTAGAAGTATATAATCCACATGATTATACCTACACATTACCAATGAATACTCTTCTAGGTCGAGTAACACACACACCGTATGAAATGCATTCATGTTTATCATTTGATACATCTCGTGAAACTTTGCCGTTATCGCCTCAACATCATATTTTTAATACGATTGAACTAGAACAAAAACCTTCTGAAACATCGAACACAATTGATAAATTAATTACACATATTAAAAATGTTCCAGAGCAACAACAATTACGTTTAATATTACAACAGCACATGAAAATTTTTGATATTTCGAAAATTACACAAGCCAACACGCATATTCAACACACTATTAACACCGGTGATAGCCTTCCCATTAGCTCAAGACCTTATCCAAGAACCATCGAACAACGACGTGAACTTCAAGATGAAATCCAAAAAATGACACAAACAAATCAAATTCGTCCATCAAATTCACCTTGGTCATCTCCCGTTATTATTCACAAGAAAAAGGATGGTGGTATTCGATTTTTAGTAGATTATCGAAAATTGAATTCGGTGACCAAAAAAGATTGCTTTCCTCAACCCACAACTGAGGAATTACTGCATCGATTAGGTGGTCATCGTTTTTATACAAAATTAGATCTTAAATCGGGCTATTTTCAGCTTCCCATACATGAAACAGATAAAGAAAAAACAGCTTTTATTACGCAAGATGGTTTATGGGAGTTCAACGTTCTTCCACAGGGTATTATGAATGGGCCACCAACTTTTCAAAGAACTATGCACAATCTTCTTGGTTATGGCCGCTGGGATTATGTTATGGTTTATTTAGATGATATTTTGATATTTTCACATACATTCAATGAACATTTACACCATTTAAACGAAATTCTGTCAATATTAGCTAAAGCCAATTTTCAAGTTAATCCTGATAAATGTTCCATTGCTGTTCAAGAAATCGATTTTTTAAGCCATACAATCAATGAACAATGCATTAAACCTAATGGTGATAAAATTAAAGCTATTGTCGATTTACCCACTCCAAAAACACTTAAAGAAGCAAATGAATTTTTAGGAAAAATTAACTGGTATCGAAAGTTTATTCCTAATTTTTCTCATATAGCTGCACCATTACACAAAGTTACCAATAAAACAAAACATCATCGCCATGAATTTAAATGGGGACCTGATCAACAACAGTCATTTGATGAATTTAAACGTCTTCTGACAACTTATCCATTATTTTTAGAATATCCAGATCCATCAACTCCATTTATTTTAACAACTGATGCATCAAATATTGGAATAGGTGGAATTTTACGGCAAGACACACCGAATGGCACAAAAATTAATTATTTTAAATCACGTATGTTAGATGATACCGAACGTAAATATGATACAATTGAACAAGAAGCATTAGCTATTTTTTGGTGTCTATCTGAACTTCGATCATATATAGGTGATTCTGATTTTATTATCGAAACTGATCATAAACCACTTGAACATTTTCATAAGAAACAAATCAATAATAAACGAATAATGAATTGGCTTTTTAAATTACAAGATATACTGCCACAAATTATTGCAGTCAAGCATCGCCCAGGTGCACATAACGCAGCTGCTGATTATATTTCACGACACTTTCCACCATCCACATCTACCAACATTCATCCATCTACCACAGCTGTAACATATGATGATTGGCCAATTGGTACTGAACATTGGGATGAACAAGTACCCAAACCACAACGTACACAATGTACTCCACCATCTATTTTAGAACACACTTGTACTCGGAATGCGAGTATCAACGCGGAAATTAATGCTGTTAAAACCAGAGCACAATCAAAACTTCAAGCTCAACCACATTCCTCTTCACCAAATGCATCATCCACATCAACTACATCTCAATCTACGTGTTCGATTCCGCCGATCACTACTCCATTACATGATTTCAGTTTATCTCGTATACGTTCTGAACAAGCACAGGACGTAATTATTCAACAAATAATCCAACAAATTCGAAATAATCGTCGCTATGAATCGTTTATTATTCAACATGGTATTCTGTATAAATTAGTTAACCGCGATGATACTACTATTAAACTTGTTTATGCACCTTCGAAATTAATTCCAGAAATAATGACTGCTTATCACGATCATCCATTAAGTGGTCATTTTGGCACTGGACGTACATGGTCTATGCTAAGAAACACATATTATTGGCCACGTATGAAAGATACAGTAACATCTTATATTAAATCATGTGATAAATGTTCACAATTTAATGTGGAGCGGCGTAAACCTCCAGGATTTTTACAACCTATTAAACCTCCTAATGAAGTTTTTCAAGTTTTAGGTATGGATTGGTGGGGACCCACCACCACTTCGCTTTCTGGAAATCGATATGTTTTAGTTATCACTGATCGTTTATCTGGTTATGTTTTTGCTAAAGCATCACCTACAAATACAGCTCACGATACTGCTCGTATATTAATGGAAGAAATTATCTTAGTTCATGGTTCACCCGACACAATTATTACTGATCAAGGCACACACTTCAAGAACGAACTCTTACAAGCTATTTCACATTTAGTCGGTTGTAAACAGATTTTTTCGACACCATATCATCCACAAACAAATGGGCAAACGGAACGATGGAATTCGACATTCGTAACACAAATCGCCAAATATTGTAATACTGATCTAAACAATTGGGACACATTTTTACCATCTATCGTTTATGCTTACAATAATGGTATACATAGCTCAACTGGACTTAGCCCATATCAACTAGCATTCGGACGACGACCACGTCATCCATTTAGTCCTCATGCAACTACATTCGTTTTCAGCAAACCACATGATTATTGGACGCAAGTGATACAATACAGAAATGCAGCGTTAAAACAAGCAAAACAGCATATAATACATCAACAAGAACTATCAAAAACTCGCTTTGATAAAAATCGATCGCATCCGAATTTCGTTGTAGGTGACCTTGTGTGGATGAAAGTTTTTGTCGGACGACACAAACTTCAAGCTCGATACACTGGTCCGGTTCGAATCGTTCGAATTCTCTCACCCCTATCATTTATAGCTGAAGATGAACATTTACAACAATTTCAAGTACATTCAAACAATATCAGACGTGTATATTCTCGTGAATCATTCCAGACGTGATACAATTTTTCTAACGAAATTCATCTGCTCACATCAAATACTCACACGATTTATTTAGTATTAATATCTTTTTATCTTGTTTATTTCAACTTTTCTTAACTTTCACCTCAACAATGCCTCAGCTATCTTCTTTTTTTTTTTTTTGAAAATTTTGTTTCTCAAATACTTCTCTTACAGCTTGCTGTTACATTGCATCTACCATTCACTCCGATCGTATCATAAACATTTTTACTCTTAATTAGTACCTAACATTTGTTTTCTCCCCTTCTACTTCAATTCCTTTCTCATCAGCTTTTATATTTGTCCTCTTTTCGCACACTGTTTCGCGTTCAACATATGAATTATCTAATTTTTTTGTTTTATTTTTGCTGTATTCATTTCCGATTCTTTCTTTTCATGGTGTTCGAATTGTTTCATATCGTTTCTTATCTTTTACTTTGTAACTTTTTGGAGGGGGGAAGTGTTATGTCAGTAGAGACATCTCCTGACATAAGACGGCCATCTTTAT